TTCACTTTCCTTATATATAAGTTTTGGCCTTTCAGGACTCCTCCAGTTTTGTATTGCCACAGGTTACCCTGAAAAACCTAAAAATGGAACAGCAAATACAAGACTCTTTCCTCTCAACAAACAGGAAAGGTATAGTGTGTACTTTATTCTTACTAATCCTTTGTGATAGAGAAAAAAAGAAGAATCTTATTGATCTCAATTCAATTCTGAACAGGTATCTTTTTTTTTTTTTTTTGTCTTTTTCGTGACCGGTAAGAGGATCGCAACCCTTGGCTTGGTGTCGCCCGCACCGCGCTCAGCCAGTGAGCGCACCGGTCAGTCCTATATAGGATCCAAACCCGCGGTGGGAGTGTCGCTGCGCTCCCAGCGCCACACTCTCCCGAGTGCGCCATGGGGCCAGCCCTGAACAGGTATCTTTTTAACACATTTTTTAAATTGTGTATAAATTAATCCGTGGTCTCCCAAGATCCCCATCATGAGAAACTTTATCACATTATCCACACATAATATATCCAGGGACAGCTCACCCTGAATACAACTCAATCACACATAAGAAAATAAATACTAATATAAGGACTGGTATCACAGACACAGGGTATGACACACCCAACCCAAAAAGAAAAGAGGAAAAAGAAAACCAGGTGAAGGCAGCAACTCTACTAGTCTATATATCCTAAGCCTGGTCTGTCCACTCTATGCACAAGAATCATGACTACAAAAATCACCTTTTAACATACCTAAAGGAGTGCTTTAAGCATTTTAAGGGAAGATAAGAATTAGAAATAATTAAGCCACAGTGAAGAAGGAGAACTATACTCACAGTTCAGTTAAGCATAATTAAATACACTGATATAGTGGATTTGTATACTAATTTCTAGTTTCCTTCTATTTAGAAAATATTGAAAATCCTTAGGCAGTTGTGGATTACGAGACCATCCTCTGTTCTGTTCCAGAACTTTCTTCTTCTTGCATAGTTAGGGAACTATTGATCCTCTTCCATTTGGCTTATCATGTCACATCCTACTTTCAAGGTCCTTACCATTAACTGCACAATAGCTATGTAACTGAACAGGTATAAAGTCTGGATTCTTTCTGAAGGATATTTTCTTCAGTAAACTTGCTGCTAAACTTGGAAGTGAATCATTTTCCAGGGAAGGGCAGAGGGCCTGGTAGTACCTCTCTCACCTACGCTATTGAGTGAGCATATACTAGGTGAGGAGAGGGTCTTTTCAGATGCTCCTTTGAATGGAAATAGTAATTTCCAGAGTGAATCAGAATTAAAGAGAGATCCCACATAAACAAAAACATATGGAGATGGTATATGAGGACATTTACAGCAGCTAAGAAAAAATTCAACTTAAAGCAGCTTAAATAAGAACAGGCATCACCTCACATAATGCAAGAGTTTGGAGACAGGACTGCGTTGGGCCAGAGCAGCAGCTCCATGATGCCAAGCATCCCACAACCTCTTGCAAACATGTCCCATGGCCGAAAAGACTGGCTTCTCCTGCTCTGGATTCTTTTCTGAAGGAATGAAACCTTAAAGGATCCCACTGTGAGGAAAATGGAGTTAGTTTAGTCAGGCCCGCTCACCTCATATCCGGCTGGGTATGACTCAGCACATCTGCTGTAAACAAATTACGTGAGAGTAGTGTTAGTGCACATTTGTGCCCATGTACCCCTTGGCTTGTTGCCACTGTTGTGTACTTTTGGTATGGAAGACAGCTGCTACCAACTGATGGTGGTGGAGCTCACATCTGGAATAAAGCATGTCTACTTCACCAGTGGCTACTCGCTTTTTCAACTACCTGCCTCAGGACCTGCACAGGACAGGGGAGAGGGGTCTGTGATCTAGCCCGATACCCACCTCCGCAATCCACACTCCCCACCCCCAACCCCCACAGACCTGCCCACCAGATTGTACTAGACAAACCCAAATCACATACCCATGCCCTTGAAAGTTAAAAAAAATGCAAACCTGATATTTTTAGCCTCTAAATATAACTCTTGCTCAATAAAATGTTAATAATCCTTTCTAACTGCAGAAATTGTTTTACTATTTGACCACTTAAACTCAAACTTACTAACGTTTTGGTAATAACCTGGTTTAACTGATGGCATTGTCTTTTCTAAAAATCAACCTTATCTACTTTACTCTTATTTGAGGGTTAATATTTCTAAAGCATACTCAAATCATCAACTATAAGCATCAGTACTACTTTCCAAAGTATAATATCAATGCTTACCAACAAAAGAAAATCTCAAAACAAATTGTAAGGCTAAAATCACAACAAAAGTATATTTGCTGACACCCACCTGGGGGTCCTGAGAGATGGGGCTATGGGCTTCAGCCCCACCCCAGCCAGCAATGGAGCCAGCCCCACATCCGAGGGTCCTGAGAGACTGGGCCATGGGCCTCAGCCCCACCCCCTTCACCACAAATCCAGGTCAGTAACAAAGCCAGCCTGATGCCCGGGATCCTGAGACAGGGCCCAGGCCAGCCCGGCCCCCACTCACAAAAGGATCCTAGCATGTACTTATTGATGACATGTGTTTTTTGGGGGTGTGAAACTTATCTGCTCATGTCCTTAACCAAATTTCTGCTTAGATTTTTAGATTTTTCTAATTCATTTTTAAGAGTTCTTTTTGCAATAAGGATGTTAATCTGTGTGTGTGTGTGTGTGTGTGTGTGTGTGTGTGTGTGTGTGTGTGTGTGTGTGTGCTCAAAGAAAGAAAGAATAATGATTACCAGAGGCTGAGAGGGATGGGGGGGGGGAGATTAGGGGCAAACTAATGGGGACAAAACTGAGGTATCTACCCTAAGTGAATCATTGTGCAGGACATGCATGTATTGAAACAACACACTATACCCCACAAAAATAAATATAAATAAAATTGAATTTTTAAAAAAAAAAAGTATATCTGACATAAACTCCCCTCTAGAACAACCTACGAATTTTGATTGTTTTTCTCAGAGTAACATTTTCAACAACTATTAATGTAAAGAAAATGGCATGACATAGTCTGTATCCTAGAGTTAATAATATGTGTTTCTACTCCCAAAGCAAAAATAAATGACTGGTCAATTTTAACTTTCTATAATGTTAACCATGCCAAATTATTCAGAACCATCCTAGGAAAAGCCATGATCCTCCACACCCTAAGTAAATGAGTCAATGCTGTAATCACACTTCAGATAACTAATCTATTTCAATCCTAATAATTTAATTACCTAATTCTGGTAAATAAATTCCAACCTCAGTCCAAAATAATTAGAGGATTAAAGTTTAAAATCAGTGAAGAAAACTGAAATAGATCCACTATACCAAAGTACAAAATGGTCTGTTCATCTCTTAAAAGTCTGCTTATTATCTCAAATTCAAGAATTGAAATGTGCTATCATGCCAAGATTTTCTAAACTGGTTCTTGATGTAGTCTCTCTTGTAATTATATTAAATGAATTCATGCTTGTTAGATTTAAAATTCCCTGACAGGGTAATCTTCACTGACTACTCTATATAAAACATATACACCATCTCCACTCACCCTGCTTTGTTTTTTTTTCCACATCGTGTTTCACCTCCAAGTACATATGTGTTTCTGTTATGTGTACCCTATGCTGCTCCACAGGACTCAGTGATACACTATTTTGGTACCGAATCTCCAGCATCTAGAAGATTGTCTTACATACAGACACTAACGTGCACTGAGTGAACAAATGAATGTCTTAGAAATCTTACTCACAAATAGAAAATTGGTATTTTTATTGATATACTTTTGCCTATATTTTTAATTATGGCATAATGATTTCAATACTAAGAATAAACAAATCACAAAGAAAAATAAAGTTGCTACTACCACCACTGCTATCACAAGAGACAGCCACACATTATAAAATATGTTATGTTCTAATCATAAATAAACAATGTAATGTAATTCTGATAACGAGCCCATGATGTACATATGTACTCCTATTTTTTCGGATGAAGAAATAGAGTATCAATGAGGTAAAATAAGAAGCCCAAGGTCAAACAGAGGATAAACAAGTAGATCTAAAACTCCAGAGCTCTGACTCCTAAACCTCTAATTCTATTTGTGATATCGTTAAGGGACAAAAGCAGTTAGTATCAGTATCACAACATCAGGATACCGAGTCCTTCTTTATAAAGAACTGGAAAAAGCAAAGTACTTACAGTGATTTCTACAACTAAAGATCACGCTGCCAAAACATGAGAAATGTTTAAAAATTAAACATCACTCAAGTCTTTCTTCCAAAAGAAATACCTTAGAGTCACTCACTGGTCTAGTAGATAAACGGAGTTAAAGTAAAAATAACATATGTTCTTGGAACATGGCCTTAGGTTAAAGTACCCAATGAAAACTAGTATGTTAAGCTACTTTTTTCCTAACCCAATTCTATTTTAAATTCAGCCAAAATTATTTTCTACTGTCTTTCTACTGATGATTTCTTCATTGGCTTGCATTTACGTTTTTCATCCAATCCATTTATTCACAATTTGTATATGACTAGTCAAACTCACTTGTTGTTGCATAAAACAAATGCAATTGATACTGTGTGCCAGTCACAGTTTCTTAGACATTTAGTCATTGCTTCCACCCACATATTTCATGTTTCCTTGGAAAAGTGGCAGTCATGTGGAGGCTTAATGCTCCTTTCAATATCTATATTTACAAGATATTTGTTACAAGATACTTTTATCCACAGGAAAACTAACATTAAAGATATGCCTCTAAGTCACTATTGGAAAAAAATCTTAGAGTAGACCTACCACAATGTTTCTTAGCAATGTGACTGGCTAAAACACAGAAACAATTTAAAAGTTATCAGATGGTAAACATTTTTAAGTTAAACAAATTTATTATAATACTTGTACCTTTAATTATGCATTCAAAAGCCCTCTGATAACAGTCACAAATGCATTGTTTTCAATGGTACAACATGTTTCAGTAGTATTTTTCACCTTGACAGCTTTACTTACTGTCTTAGAAGCAGTATTAATGTACTGCATCACCATTTCTTTTTTGATACTGAAGTCCTTTTCCCGCAATGGTGCCTTTTTATCTTCATTTAAATTCATATCTTCCTGGAAAACACAATTAAAATGCCTCGTTTTAGAATCTAAGTAGAGCAGCAATTCTACATACACTACGCGCGGAAAAATCAATAATTTGTGACTAAAGCAGCATTAATTGTTTTGGAATGATTTACGTGTAGTTCAGCCTGGAGGAAGGAGAGAGAAAAAAGCTGAAGAGACAAAGAAGTATTCTAGATCATTTTAACAGGTAAAACACTTACCAGAAAAATTTTTTTAATTCACAGCAGGCTAGTAAAATTATATTCACTTCACTACAGATAATTAGACAGTTGAAGATTTCTGCCTTTCAGAAGGTCATTAGGATTCTCAGTTTTAATACACATATATTCTTCTCCCCAACAACTGCACATGAAGCTATATTGTGTGGTTTTGAAAAAGTTGATCTGTGTATCATAAAAACTAAGTAAATAAACCACTTTCCAGATTCTGAGAGCTACAAGCACATTATCATCAAATACCTAGTACTGAAACCAGTAAAAAGCAAAGTATTCCCTAGTTTTAATTTTTTTTCCTCATTGAAGGGACGCACGGACGAAGGAAGCACGCCAGACCCGGGCTAACAGTTCGCCAGAGAAGTTCCGCTTTATTCAAGGACTGCGCGTACATTTATAGGGTGCTGTGCTCCTGGACGGGAGAGAGAGTGGACGGGGCGGTAACTGATTGGATGGGGCTGGGCAGGAAGTGAGCCTTGACCTGTGACTGGCTGAGGATTGGCGCGGGTGGGCTTGGGTGTTAGCGCCAGTGGGCTTGTTTACTGCGGAGAAGAACCAGGAAGGGCGCCATATTGCCAGAGTGTGTCCCTGTTCAGGCGCCCATGGGGTCCCTACACTCATGCCTATCAAAAACATTAAACAGGGGCCGGCCTGGTGGCGCACTGGAGAGTGCGCCCCTTGGGAGCGCGCTGGCACTCCCACCGAGGGTTAAGATCCCATGTGGAGACTGGTTCCTGCTCACTGGCTGAGCGCGGTGCAGGCACAACACCGAGGGTTGCGATCCTGTTGCCAGTCAGTAAAAAAGACAAAAAGGAAAAAAAAAAAAACATTAAATAGTTAATTTAGGGCTGGCCCGGTGGCGCACTGGAGAGTGCGCCGCTTGAGAGCGCGGCGGCGCTCCCGCGGAGGGGTCGGGGCCCCTGGGGGGGGCGGG